ATACATATATATGGTTTCTAATTGACTTACTGACATAGCAAAGCTATATATCAACACTGTTTCTCCTAATGTCATGCTTGTGTTCCTCTCTTTTTCTCTCCCTAGCTTTAGGTCAGATAATGCTGTATGTGGATGGAATGAATGGCCTCATATCACACAATGAGACTGTCCAGTGGCTCTACACCTTGGTTGGATCAAAGGTAAAGGGAAATACTACCGTTAGCCCTGAAAACATCTTCACTCAGCCCAGTGAATGCAAACTCAGTAATCCCGTCCCAGCAGTCTGAACTCCTTAATCTTATCAGAGGACTTCAAAACAGATTGAATCATGAACTTCATTGTCCACGTGGATTCAAGCCTCCTCTGACATTGTGGTACTTCAGCCCCCTTGTGGCCAAATTAAATGACCAAACATGAGAAAGTTTGTTTTCTTCTATTCTTAGAGCTTACAACCTTTTCATGTAAATAATGAGTACAAGGCCTCTGTTTTATATATTATATATTGAAATACTCTGAACACTGTCTATATATAGGACATAGAGCTGGCTGTGGTCAATTATTACAGCTGATGGATTGATTGTCTTATATTTATTTATTTTATGTTTTTTTCTTCTAAAAACTGTAGTTTTTTTACCCCTTGTCCCACACATTGTAAATTTGCTTGTAAATACAGTATTTATTTGCCACTTGGACTGTCTTCCACTTTCCCTTCTGGCCACCTCTAATAAAGACATTAATGAAAAAGATCATACAGATCTGTCAGAGTATTGTAAAAGAAGAGCTACTATCTTTTTAATAGTTAGTAATAGCGAATGCCATGTTTTATGATACTGTACAGCCCTATTTAAAACCAACCTTTTGTAAATTTTTATTCCGATTCTTCACTTTCAATAGTTTCGTCTGGTGGTGAAGACATCCCTCAAGTTGCTGCTGGTGTTTGTCGAGTACACGGAGAGCAATGCTGTCCTTCTCATAAATGCTGTGAACACTGTGGATACCAAAGGAGGTACAGGCCAAATAACATAGAAAAAATACAATAGATTGAACCCTGAACAAAACTGTTTTTACAATGTGGTATGTATATTAGTAAAGTGGTGCTACAGGCTTTGCCTAAATGCTATATTTGTGTTAATCTGCTGACTCTTTTAATCACTTTATAAGTTTAAAACTACAAATTTCCCTCCAAAAATCTTAACAAACTTAATTTAAGTTTATCAATTTGGTAGCTCTCATTCCAAACCAGAAAATATATAGACAAATATATATGCAACATTAAAATAGAAAGTATTTAATATTCAAAAGTATTAAACTCCTGCATAAAAACATGTTAAATTAACAGCTTTTTTTCGTATTCACTTAAAACTGTGAATCTAACGCAGTTATGAAAAGGATCATCTGGGTAACCGCTAAAGCCTATTTAGCTGTTTAAATTATTCTGGCTTCATGTTTTCTGCTCAATCCGAGCCCCTGCATGTCAACACCTCAGATGCTTAGACATCAATTTAAACAATTGGCAAACTGAAACCTGTAGTTGTTTTGAAACTAGAGAGTAGACAGCGCTGACCAATTAATGCTGCCAAACTTACACTCACACACACAGAAGCTTCTTTGAAGAGTAGAAACTGAGGAGGGAAACCCAGAAGAAGTGATCACATCAGCTCCCCTCAGTTACTTTAAGGCTGTTCTTTTAACTGTAGCTCCTCCTTTAGTGAGCTTTAACTACCTGCTCTAAAAGCCCTTCATTGTCCTATGGAGCGTGCTGCAGGGGCTGGTTCTCTGTGCTGGAGGGGTTAAACATCCCTCTGTCTCACCTCAGTGTGAAACCATTGCTGCCCTGGGGTTAAGAAGAAAACTGAAATTAATCTCAAGGATCCTAATGTGAAGATATAGCCACCAAACTTCTTTTTTTACACCTGAAGCTACAAATATTTAGTTTTAACGCTGGATCAGAAGGCATTTGATCGCCTTTTTTTGGTGCTCTAAGATGGACAAATGGATTGGTAAAGATATATTTTCCATTTAACAGGCTTTTGTCATTTTTTTTGTTTTGTTTTGTTTTTGTTTGGGCCTTTCAGTGTATGATCCCTTGTGTGACGTTTTTGTACAGGTAAAAAACTATGGTCAAATGTCATGGAGATCTTGGAGGAGAAGGATGGTGTGGATACCGAACTACTGGTTTTTGCCATGACGCTCATTAACAAGGTCAGTAAATACACTGTAATAACGACTTTACACATTGTCCTAAAACCAGATTTTCCTAATATGTCTTTTACCTTTTACACATTGTAATAGATTATAAAAAAATGCTATCTATGGTTAGGAGTTCTTAAGACAAACATAGACTGTTTTATTTATAGAAGTGTTTCCTACAAAGCAGCATTAATTAATTAATTTGATCAATCTTATTCAGTCACTTTCTCTGTCAGATTAAATCATATACAGAGTCAGTCTACTATTTTTTTAATGGAGAAAAAAACGTTAAAATTAAAGCAGTCAGTAGTTGAATCTGAATATTTATAATGTTTAATGGTAAACGGTACATACTCTTTAGAATAGCTTAAGCTAGTATTGACTGCATAATAGGGAGATAAATATAAATCTCCTTGTAATAAAAACATATTTTTTTATAAAACATCTTAATATTTTTTGCAATGCAATGATTTTTTTTCAGTTCCAATCAGTCTATCGAACATCTGTTGAACCTTAAACTTTCACTATTCTTAAGCGGCTTTAGATTTAAAGCAGAAAAGCAACATTATTCCATCTATTCTTTAGAATATAATCATATATTTATAACCCAGTAAAATCTACAAGACATGAAAAGGAAGGGGTTGAAGGTCTGAATAAACATTCAACACTCTAACATAGAATGAAATCAAAAGCCTTAATATTCTGACCAATAATTATTTCATTAATGTCTCTTCGTTATATAAACCATTGCTTTTTCAACTTTTATTATTGAAATGTTTTTGCTTTTATCAGACTCTGGCAGCCCTTCCAGATCAGGATTCCTACTATGACATGGTGGACTGTCTTGAGGAACAAGGCATCGAAACCACGGCCCGGAGACACCTAAGCAGAAAGGGCACTGACCTGGATCTCGTTGAACAGTTCAATATCTATGAGGTCAGAAATGACTCACTCCAGACTAAAAATACACCTTAACGTAAAGTTATTTATTTCTGACCAAATTCTTCTGGTTATATGACTGTTTCAACAGCAGGTTAAACTATTTTTGTTTGTTTCAGGTGACTCTTCGCCACGAAGATGGAGATGACGAGGCCCAGTTGCCTCCGTGTGCCAGAAAGGACCGACGCAGGGCTAGTGTCGGTGGTACCAATGAAAGACGAGGCCTGGAGAGAAGAAGGAGCAGGAGGCATTCGCTTCAGAATAACAAAGAGCATACACCCAGCCCAGCATCTCCAAGCAGCTTCCTGCCCTTCGGGGGACAGCGGGTTGAAGACATCAGTGAAAGGTGAGGCAAGGGAAACAATAGAAGGGAAAAGATGAGGATTTTTATTTTTTTAAGGATATTTTGTGGGTCCCATCTTGACTAGATCCATCTACACTATCCAGAGCCGAAACTGAGAATATATCATGATTTGAAGGATGGAATAGGAGACAGCTGCTGTTAAGGAACATTATATTAATTTTCTTCATGTCAGAGCTTCTCTCTTGCAAAGGATGGCAACAGGAACCAACTCTAAACTCCTGATATTAGCTATGTGTGCTCTGCTTTATGTCAGGTTTACTTCAGAGAGAGCGCTGACCTTAAACAGGACGATTTCTTAAAGCTCTCAGAGTTCAAAACTGATCTTTTGGCGAAAAATTACATGAACTTTTATTCAACCTTTTTTATTGGACTCTACAGCAAACAGACACTGCTTTGATTTTGACTATGTCTCATTAAGGTACAATGTTAAAGCAATCCAAAGCAGAATACCTACTCGTGTTCTGGGTTGAACTCTGGTATTCAGGTTTGCTAAATTCAATCCAGCAGGTCATTTGATACCAGCCTATCCTCTTCCATCCTACCACAGGAAATTCAAGCTGCCTTTGAGGATCACAATTTTCCATATTGTTAATGAAATCCAGACAACCTGGAGCGATTCAAAAAGCACATTTGCAGGAGAGTCGTGTGTGTGATGATTATTATTAGTTAAACCAGATATGTCCTAGAGGTCTAACTCTGGTTATTAAATTAAGCCCATTTGATTTTGCCAAAAATTGTGATTTTATTCTTGTTAGTGTTGTTTTTTATGATACAGTGGATCTGAAAAGGACACTGAGACGTATTTAAGGACATATTTATATGATGTAAACAAATTGACAACTCCAATACACAAACCACACGGTTTATCCTGTACACTTTCTTTTTTGGAAAAGAGTATGTCAGATATTTGAGTATTCACTTTGGTTTCTCACTGTTTGGCAGTACATCAAACTATAGTAAACACTTCCTGTTTTAGGTTAGTGAGGCTTATCAACATATGTTTCTTTAAAACAAATTAAACTCAGAATTGTTCATGTACTTCTTTAGATTTACCATGTACATTGCATTATATGAGGTTTTGGCTGTCCTGTCACCAGTTTCTCACAATAGTTCACTGAGATTTATTCATGTTCCTGCTGACAGAATGGATGTAACTCAACCTGATTCATACTGGTGGTCGTCACAGGGACACAGACTCCTCTCCTAACTTTTTATACATTGATATAGATGTTTTAACATATTTTTGTAGCACTTCCTGGCAGAAAATTGTACCTAAGGATAAACCAGGCTGGTAAAGGTCCATAATTCTCTTTTTGGGTTCTTGGCGGATTTTTCTGGTGTTTAAGGTGAATTCTCCAATAAAATTTGAAAAACTCCCTTTCTTATTCGTTTGGTAGTTTTGACTTGCAAAAAAATGTTGGTTACAACCGTGTTGAAACAAGATAGGCTTAATATTTTTGGATCAAATTATTATACCTTCTTTTACAGTTTTTCTGTCAAAGTGGAGAAGAAAAAAAAATTTTTTTTATTATGCATCACAAAAAACCTGACATGTTAATTTTTAAGTGTCCATACTGTAAAGGGATACTGTATGTTACTGAATTTGTATTGACATGTAGCCTTAGGTGGTTTATGTAAACATCCATTGCTTTTTATTTATGTCATCACAGTAATCTTGTTAACATCTGCTAACATCTGTCATTGCTTGTTGCTTTTCTGCACTAATACCTGCAGCGTATTTTCTGACAAGCATGTCTCGTCTGTCTCGTCTCTGTGCGCTGTCTCCCCTGGGCCAACCATCTGCGGTTTTGCATTGTCTCATTCGAAATGTCCAATCCATTCTTCCTGCCTACATACATCCTCCCTTTCATCCGTTCATCCCTCGGCCCCCTCCTCTAATCACAGAGAAGAGGAAGAGGAAGAAGAGGAGGAGGATGAGGAGGATGAGGCAGATGATGAAAGCCAACCAGACTCTGAGCCCCCTATGCAGGGCTCTTACAGGTATTTCAGGGATTCAGTTGCCTCTGTTTTCCCCTCGTAGCATCTACCCTGTCTGAATACCTTACTCCTTCTCTGGACTCCTACTTTCTTCTATTTTGTCCTCCTAGTGTGGCTCCAGATGTAGCAGGCACTCCTAACATGTGTTTGAACTTTAAGTGTATGACCAACCTCCTCCTTAATGGCAGTGACCTGGAAGGGCAGAGAGACTTTCTAAGCATCAAGACCAGGACAGCATCTCCTGTGTCCGTCGCACCTAAAAAGAGGACCTTTAGTCCTTGGTGTGTTCCTCTCTGCCACCGTTTTCTTGTCTGGTGCTGTAGTTAGAACAGGCTTCGCATATGCTCAGTATTAGTCAGCTTTGAACTTTTTTTCTGTCCCTTCATTCCTTGAGATAAAGCAGACTCAGGTGTCCTTTAGGTTTGATGAAGGACTTGGATTACAGTTGGTTCATTACTCATTTGGAGGAATATCACCACGGTAGCTTTTGTTTCTACCACTGAAACTTCAGAAAGCATAAAAGCACGTCTAATTTCAGTTTAGGTTTGATTGAAACTTTCAGTTTAGCACTTTAAATCTTAGATCAGTTACATTGCAGATATTGTATTAGTTCCCAGCCTGTTTGATAGTTGCCAGATAAAAAATGTTGAACTCATTTGGGTTTGCTTACATCAAACTCCAAGCAGATGTGAGCCACAGCGTTAGACTTATTTTCTTTTCTGCGGTCTCTTCCAAGTATGAGGGTTTCTATTGGTCCTTGTAAATTCAAAGGTGATATTTTAATTATCAAAGTAATATTTAGGTCTTTCCTGATCGGTACAGATTTTTATTCCATTTTCTATGGTCTAAATGGACTCTTCCACTGACTTTAAGGATTTCCACTCTTAAGGTTTTATAAACTTACAACTGCATAAAAAATAAGTATTATTAGCAATTATTGCAGAACTAGGAGCTACATAATGCTGCAATCTAAGAAGAGTAGTGGGTCTAGAACAGATATCTACAAGCTTTTAAAGAGAAAGACAAAATATTTCAAAAGTTAACACTTTAAACCCTCTTCAGTATGTTGTATTAGAAATATAAGATACAGTTAGAAAAGGTTAAGTACAGTTTTTTGTACTGTATTTTTAAACATTACCCTGAAATCTTTGAGTCTTCACTTAGCAGTATCATCCACACAGAGGAATGTTGTGAACTGGTGCTGCTTTTACAAATGTGTATTTACTGATCAGAAAAAAGGTTGAATTTCTCAGTTTCTCACCAGACTATTAGCAGTCAGAACCGAACAATGACCGATTCTGGTTAGCAGGAAATCATTTTGTGCATCTCTGAGGTTTTTTTTTTTTGACAAATAAATATTGTTTATTTTTAAAGGTTGTATGAAAATTAATCCAGCAGAAAAAACAAGTATTTTTTTATATATTTATTCATAATGATGCAGCTAAAATCACTCTATATTAAAACATGTTGAAAAAATACAGTTAAATTGAGATTCATATTTTGCATTTAATTTGCACGTCTCACATAATGTACTGTGTTGTTTATGCTTTCTAAGAAGCACACTGACTTAATCCACAAATAAAGATGTGCTCGCCTAAGTTTTGCTCTTTTGGTCATTAAGCACTCTAGAATCTGCATGTTTTCTAATAAGCTAAACTGTACGATTAACAGTTCATCTATTTCTCTTTCCCTCTCTCTGACTTACTGTTCTTTGTCCGTTGCTTTCATATTCAGTCTGACAGAGACATCACTTTCTACAGCTTACTCAGCTAGAAAGCCCTGCTGGGCTGAGAGGTAAGATCAAAAGGTCATGTTTAACAGCCCTGTACAGAAATGCAGATGTCATTTCTTTCTTGATTTGATAACTAAAACTCTAAAATATGTGGCTCAACAAATATCTGAACATCAGCATCTCAATAAATCAGGATATCCTTTAAATCTGTATTCATTTCACATAATAAATGCAAAAGTAATCCTGGTGATTCATCTGGCTACTTAATATTGCTTTTTTTGTTAATGGTGATAATCATGTTTTACAGCTAATGAAAACCTACACTTCAGCTGACATAAAACAGACCAAATGACTTTTAAGGCAGAGATAATCGGCTTTGTGTAAAGTTTGTCCATGAGCTGTATAGTAATGCACTCAGTATTCAATCAGGGCTCCTTTTGCATGACGTGTTCAGGAAGCCCAGTGTTGCTTTCATAACAGACATCACTTTTTCCTCGTTGTAGGATGTGGTTTCTCTTTTCTTCCTGTTGACAATACTCCATAGATTCAGACCAGAATGTTGACCAATTAAAAACTTTACAATGTTGATTAGAGCAGGTGTTTGTACTTCTGGCAGTGTGGACAAATGCCAAGTCCTGATAAAAATCAAATCCGTATTTTCATAAAGCTTTTTCCACAAAGAAAAGCTTTAAAAGCCCTAAACCTTCCTGTGCTGACTTTGGACTTGAAAAATCCCAGTATAAGTGATTTTTTCTTGTTGTTTTCCACATTAAACGCTAATGGCACTACCTTCCCTGGCAGACATCAGACTCCGAGGTCACCCATCCACAGGCTCAGTAATTCAGCCCCATCCACACCTGACTCCAAGCCTGAAAGGTGAACATATTTACAACTTTCATTGTCTTAGATTAAGCATCAACAGACAAAACAAAATCCAACTAATAAGTTTTAAATAATTCCTTGACATATTTTCCTTTTCTTAACATTTTTAAAAGCAGAACTGCTATTGGGAGCTTGCTAACGTCTTCATTCAGGCAGCACCAAGAATCTCTTGCTCTGGAGAGAGAGAAGAGACGTCAGGAAAGAGAGGAGCGTCTGCAGCGGATTGAAAGAGAAGAGAGGAATCGATTGAGGTTAGTTTCACCTTGCAAGCTAGATAAAAACCCATGCCGTCTCTGTGTTACATTGGCTGCTGTGTTTCTGATCACAGCTTAAGTGAGATGGTTATAAATCTTCCCTGAGCTTGAGGCAAGCCAGGTTTTTTACGAGGATCATAACACTGACTGAAACATGACAGGAGGACTCCTCAATGACATATGTTGTCCTTACATGTCATATGATAGCCTTTTGTGCATCTTATGTCCGAGCTTCTACATCAGAGCAGTTTACATCCTTGAGGTTAACTTTCAAAATATAAACATTTTACAAGTGATATTTTTGCCTTTTTTTTAATCTTAGTTTCTTTTGTTTCAGTCATGACCATTTGGAAAAGAGGGAAGAATTAAGACAAGCCAGGGAGGAAAGGTCAGTTCATTTTTTTTTTCTGTGTTTTTAATCTCCTGATCGAAACCCTGTGAAATTAGACATCCTGCTGAAATATGTGGAAGAAGGCCTAATAAAGAAACCCAACATTAGCAGGTAGCAGTCAAATATTCCTTTACGGTACCTTAAAAATATGTGGATATCATTTGTCATCATTTCAGCCTCTTATTAATGGGATTATGGCCCCATTTTTATGTAATTTTCCCTGGAATGAGACAGCATAAATGGCTGATATTTGCTGATATAATCAATGTTATGTAAGGCTCTCATATTTCCAGCAATGTCTTTCTTTCTGGACATTTTTAATTTGCCAGTTTCCCTGAAAACCTCTCATTTAAAATAATTACCTCACCTAAAAAACACTAAATTTAGTCATTACTTTTAGAAATAGCAGTTTTGCTCTGTGCCTGGGTAAATTACAGAAACTTAAACTGTTGGGTTTTTTTTCTGTTTTTTTTATTCACTACAAGAAAAAAACAACTTCACATACATAGGGACAGAAATGTTTCCCTAATTTTTAGGAAATAGCCCACCTCTGCTGAAGAAAATGATTCCCGTAGCATGAACCTGCCACCACAATATTCTACTGTAGGGATGTTATGTTCAGAGTAATGTGTATTGTTGTAAATTTAGTCCTAATGGTTCAATGTTGGCCTGTTTTGATCAAAGTATCCTTAAAATGTTTGCTTTCCTGGAAGCTTTTTTTCATAAAGGCTAGGATCTGTTGAGTGAGTACCGTATATTCCAGACTATAAGCCATTACTTTTTTTTCTCAGGCTTTGAATCTGCGGTTTGTGTGCAGCTTTTCTGTGAATTTTTTCTAAACGCCAAACTAACAGGAGCTAGCATTCTTCTTCTTCATCCCTTCACCAGGGGCGTTATGTAGAGTTCGCCCTACAGCTTTGGTGGGAGACAGTTCAGTAGATATCAGTGTGGCTTATATATTTAAGTTTCCAGTTTTTTCAAAAAATTTAGTGGGCAAGCTTATAGTGAAGGGAAAATACAGTAAAAAATACAATGTTCTGTGAACAGACTTTCAGGCTGCTTTATAATCTTGCCCTCTTTTAAACCTAAACTTTCTCCCTCACCTGTTTTTTGCATTTCTTGGTCTTTATTATGCAGTTTCTTCACTAATGTTATTCACCAAATTTCTTAGGCTTTTGCAGCACTGGTGTATTACAGCATATAAATCATAAATTGGAAATCTGAAAACATTTGGAGGCACTGGATATTATTTTGGGGAATTGCAATTAAGTCATCTGAGGGCAAATATCCACCAATTTGCTGAATCTAATTGCAGAGGGAGGATAATCAGAGCTTGATATAACACTGCAGTTTTGCAGAGACCTCTGAAGTCTTAATTCTGCTTCCATAGGTACAAGGCCGTGGAGAGGTCGACTGCAGAGGAGAGTGAGCGGGAGCGGCCTCGGGTGCCAACAAGAGGACGAACAGAGATCACTCTGTGTTTGAGTCCAACTCCAAGCGTCCGCTCAGTATCACGATGTTCAACAGCCTCACCCTCCATCTCACAGGGAGCCACAGCCATGGCTCCAGAGAAGACAACATTGGGTAAAAAGTCTTTTTTCATGTATTTTGCTATTTCTTAACCCTTAGTACTCAAGAATGTTGGGGAAATACCAAATGTTGCTGCACAACACTGTGTGTTTATAATGTTACAATAGTAATGATAATGACTCAGGAAATACATGTAGTGTAGTGGGTAAAGGTGTGATTGACACTGTATCAACTTGTGGAGAGGTCCAAGTAAAGTCTAAAAACAAGATCATAAAAGAAATTTATTTAACAGTTTACTGTTATAAAATAAAATACTTTTTTTGTTTCATTTTTCTAAAATAAGTGGTGTTTTTTTTTTAGTTTGAATCAAAAAATTTATATTCAAGTCAAATAAAAAACTATGTTATGCAAATATTTGCTCTTCATTATATTTTCTTTCAGGAACAGAATGCATTTCAAGACCAAACCTTTTCCGACAGAGCAGAACCAAAAGTTCAGCGCCTGAATTCTCAACGTCAATACCTCCCCAACAATTAGACAGGACTGAGACAAAGACAGAGGCAGGGAATGTTGCTGATATAAAGAATGGCAACAATGACCTAGCACAGCTGGATGTGAAGGAGCAGGCAGAAAAGGAGAAGGAGGAGAAACCAAAGCAGGAGATGCTTAAAAAGCAGGAGCAGATTGTTGATGAGGTTGGAGCGGATGCAGCAGAGACAACTGATGCAGCAGAGGTTGGAGAGCAGGATGTGAATGTACTAGTGGAGTCAGAGGAGAAAGTGAAGCATGCAGATGGGGAGGTGGAGGAGGGTGTGGTTCTGAGTGAGAAAGAGAGACAGAACGAGGAAGTGAACGAAAAGGACAATTGCTCTGCATCCAGCATCTCTTCCACAAGCAGCACCTTAGAAAGGGAGGAGCGGGAGCAGAAGCCAGCAAAAGAGGCTGAATCAGGTAAAGCTGAACCTTGATTCACTTTGACTTGAATGTTATTGCTTGGGCTCATGAAACAGTATTCATACCCTTTCAACATTTTCATATTTTGTTTTATTGAACTTAATGTTTTGTTAATGTAAACTAGATCTCCATATCAGAAAAACATAAGATAAAAAGATTAAAAACACCTTTTACTTATTTAAATAACTGGCATACAGAGTATGAATGTATTGGACCCATGTTAGTAGCCCATAATGCTTCCTGTCTGACAGTTCTCAGCTATATGAGAATGGCAGGCCTTGATATCTCAATAATAAACCTGAGGATCTGTTTACTTAGGATCAAGGTCCTCCTTTAGGATGAACCTCCAGCCACGTCTAAAGTATTTGCGGCCTCTAATAGTATTTGTTACTATTTAGATGAGTTTTTACACTGTACTTAAAGGTATAGTGGAGGATTTTCACAAATTTTTGAAAAAACCTCTCCACTTAAAATAAAAAGGTCATGCATAACCCGTAACCAACCCCTGAGAGGGAATGTCTATTAAACGCATGCGAGAGCATGCACGAGCCCATTTCTTCTTGCGCACGCTCTGTTTAAAACGCTGTTTGCATTGCTCATACAAGCTTACCTTCTAAAAGAAGATTTGCATTTTTTCACTCTACCCCCATTTGTATTACCATTTTGAAACCGTGCCAAATCGGTCCGAGCGCGGTAACAGAGATAACTGCTGGGTGTAAATTGCAGGCGCAACTTAACCGGACTGCGCCAAACACAACCGAACCGCGCTGACATGGTACTAGTTCATCAGTAGGCCTCAGCGCGGTTCAGTTCTGGCACGGTTCTCAGAAAACAAAGAGCGCGGAGCAGACCGCTACATCTTACAGTCTGCCTCCATAATCAACTAAAAAATTAAGACAAACTTCAAACATTCTTAAAAATACAAGCTTCCCTACTTTGCCACATGATTTCCAGTGATAATTCTGCTTAGCAGTGTGATGAGCCTCAACGTACGTCATTGTTTCTTAGTCTGTAAGCCCTGATTAGACTATCGTTTGTCGAGTCCACTTCTCAAAACCTGACTCTGTCAAGTAAATTCACCAAGGGTTGCTTTTTTCCTCTGACTCTCCAAAAACAACGAAATATCCCAACGATAACAAAACATAACTTTGTTCGGTATGAACATTCTAAAGCAGTAGACATTTGTTTTCTATTAACAGGCCAATGGCATCAGTGTCTAAAGGAGGCAGATGTGACCGACCAGTGCAAGAAGATTCTCAACAACAAGCGCTTTATGCTGGACATGCTCTATGCCCAGAAGGCTGTCTCTGAGGATGGCGGAGAGGTTGTGGAGTCAGAGAAGGAAAGGTGTAAGTGTGAGAGGGAGACAGACGCTAGTGATTCTGTGACCAGTTTGGCAACCCGGATCTCCACACTGGAAGCGAACAGACAGGCCAGAGAAGACAATGTTAAAAGATTGGAGGTGGAACAGCTGGACAACCATGGCAGTGTCAGAACTGTGGCGGAGAGGTTTGGGGATTTAGTTAAAGGTCTATCGTCTACGCTAGAGATAGAGGCTCCTAAAGAGCAACCGCAGATAGATAAATCATCTGGTTCAGCCCCTAAGAAGGAGTCAGATCATATCTGGGATCAGCTGATGGCATCTCCCAGGGAGCTGCGGATCAAAGAAATGGACTTTACGGATCTTAGAGAGGAGGACGATATGGACATTTTAGATATGGAGACCATGATGGCTTCACCACCTCCACCATGCAGTTCCACCCTCCCACCACCTCCACCTTTGTTCGGATGCCCCCCACCCCCACCCTTTCCTGGCAGAATGATGCCTCCACCTCCTCCATTTATGGCTCCCCTGCCGCCACCTTCTCCTCATCTGGGTAGAGGAGAAGCCCCTCGGTTCCAGAAGAAGAAGACTATCCGTCTCTTCTGGAATGAGGTACGGCCTGTGGACTGGCAGCGCAAAAATCACAAGTTCTGTAAGGAGTCCCTGTGGTCCAACCTAGAGCCAGTTAAACTGGACACATCCAAGCTGGAGCAGCTGTTTGAGACCAAATCCAAGGAGCTGTCCGTCACAAAGGTAATCTTATGTCATCATTAATCGGTTTCATTTTCCTGGAAACATACAGTTGGAAATATCAGACTGGTGCTATGTTGTATTCAAATCAGGTAAGCCACATCTTTAGGGAATACAATAAAAATCCTGCAGTGATGATCATTTGATATTTGGGTTGAATATTATTAGCCAGATTTTTACAGACATTAAGATGCCTTTTATAGGTGTCGTATAGGTCAGGATCAGGAAATCAAAAACACCAAGGTATGCTAAAAGAATTTCCACTGGCACAATAGAACAATAATAATCTGGCCCTGATAACTGGAAGCAAGCAGCTTAAATAGAGGAAGGAGTAGGTGGATCAGATGAGCAGTAATAAGAAATTTACGATACAATGCATTGAGTATGCAGTATTGTAGATCAAATGAATAAGAGTGAACAACTGACTGCTGGATTAGTTGGCTGTTGCCATGAAGAAACATGGTTACAGCCACTAAACTTCAAATTCATGCAATCAAAATAAGAAAACATATTCAAAATTCTAACTTCACATACAAATTGTTTAATTTGATAACAACAGAGATACTGATACTGTGACATATATCTCCCATAAGGTTATTTTTTTTCCTTGACTAAATTAGTTTGAGAGACTCCTGATCAGGACTAAGGTTGATGATAACATAAAAAATCGTGAGTTTCCTGCGTAAATTGGGAAAGTTGGCAAGTAGCTATGTATTTAAAGGCACACAGTGTAACTTTTGGCTACTGGGGCGCTACACCTGTAACTGCCTGCATTTTGCTTCTACTAAACATTGAAAATAATAACAAAGATATATAACTGTACACAAGATGCAAAGTGTGGACTTACCAGTCTAATAATAAAGTTGAGAAAAGACAAGCAGTTTTACATCCGGCTTCTTCTTTCAGCCTGCGCTAACGAATAAACTGCTTTCCAAGATAGACTTTTGTTTTCCTCAGGCACAATCCCTTTCATGTTTTCTCTGTTTAGCATCCTCAGAAAGTTTAAACTTTTTTTCTTGCCTTAGCCATGACCAGTAGTAGAGCAGGTGGGAAAAATAGTAGAGCAAAAGCCTTAGCTGGAAGGCTATATTAGAGCCTATGGTTAAAGCCATGGTCACATGACCTTGCCGATGACGGTCCGTCTTCTCCCAACTTGCATAGTTAGTATTTAACGGGGGGAACCCCGCTCATAACATTGATAGTGTCAAGTGCTGCATATTGGCCTGATGAATCATTTAAAATAACTAATATGCTTCACAAAGTCCACAGTTTGCCTTTAAGTTAGGAATAAAGTAAAATAAAATAAATATATGAGGATGAAATGTGAAGAGATGAGAAATCATTCATTTTTAAGGACCTTCACATTCTTTAATTCACATTCTTTAATCTGCCATTCAAAATATATTTCTATTAATAATGCTGGGACACACCACAAAGTAATGGGACCAGTGGCTAGTGGCTCATTATGCCGCCCTTAATGTTCAATAGTTCAGAAAAAATAGGAATATTTATTGATATGGTTCCATTCAGATTTATTCTGTTTTTTTTTTTTCATCTTACATCCAGTCTTACATATTTTATTTTCAATGTTGATAACAGAAAACCACTAATGTGAATTCTGTTGTGTTGAAGTTAATGTTTGGGTGTTGAAATTATATCAGTTTCGGGAGAACTTTGATCACAAAGCGACAAAATAATAATACAAGGTATGTGGAGATTTTTGTGTAATTGAAGAGTAATTCCACATAATTTATATATATATTTTTTTTTCAGTTTTATNTTTTATCTACAGGATGCAAATAGGCAAACATTATAAAAAATTGCTTCCTTCCAGCACAACATTTATTTCAGGTTGATAGGAAGCATAAATCCAAGAATTTAAATCAAAAGGTGCTTTGCCGACCAATTAAGTATGTTTATTCTTATAGAACCAGGTTCTGTCGGCTTTCTTACTTTTCATTCATCTAACGCATCTGTTTTGTTTTGAAAAATTTAGGATTAATGACATAAAAAGTTGAAAAGAATGCTTTAACATAAACTGCTATATATTTGTTTGAAGAGAGAAATAAATATTACAATAATTATCAAGATTCATTTAATTTTGAATTTCCTATATAATTAAGAAAATGACAAAAATAATTTCAGTCAGAAAAGGAAGAAAACAGTCAATCAAACCTTTTATGGTGAGTAATTAAGGCACCTGCCTTTAAATCGTAATTTTTTACACCATCGTTAGTAGAAAAAGGTTGATAAGACTTTGATAGATCATTGAAACTAGAATGATGGAAATGGACCATTTGTAATGAGCAATAGGGGGATTTTACCAGGTGCCTTTTCACACAGTTTTCTTCTTCCTTTGGCCTCTCCTAGAAACCATCAGCTGAAGGCAAACGACAAGAAATCATCGTCCTCGACTCAAAGCGCAGCAACGCCATAAATATTGGATTAACTGTCTTACCTCCTCCTCGCACAATCAAGACAGCTATTCTCAACTTTGATGAGTACGCACTGAACAAGGAAGGCATTGAGGTGAGCTTAAGATAATTATATCTGGACTAGTATGAGGTTTGAGCATAGCGTATATGGGTCTAATCTGAACAAAGTTGTAATGTCTTAAGTACTATGTGATAATCTGTTGCATTAGTTGTGTAGATATAATCTTTTTTTTTCTACATTTATAAAGATAAAGGGTTATTTTGAGTTCATCTCAAAAACCATCTGGTATCTGCAGAGCTTCATGGTTGTAGGTTACAGTAAAGCCTCTTTGATTTGATACTTCATAGGCTGAGTTTAGGGATGGAAAGATTCCTCCACCTTTTTTTCTCTCTCTAGAGGTATTTTCAATGATACAACAAAAGCAGAGAAAAAGTTCAGATGTTAAAAAATTCACGAAAACAGGAATCAACTTAAAGAATTCTGAATATAATTATATGTCTAAAAATCAGACACACAGGGACACATTTTATGTATATCTTCTCCATTCTAGAAAATCCTCACAATGATCCCAACGGAGGAGGAGAAGCAGAGGATCCAGGAGGCTCAGCTGATGAACCCTGACGTCCCGTTGGGCAGCGCTGAGCAGTTCCTGCTCACCCTCTCCTCCATCACAGAGCTGTCAGCGCGACTGCAGCTGTGGGCCTTCAAGATGGACTACGAGCTTATTGAGAAGGTCAGGTACATTCCTGCTCCCACTAATCAGGGGCAGATGAAAGAGGCACTCATGTTGTTACATAAGAAGAGGTTTAGGGATTTTTTTTGCATCTTTTTTCAAGCTTTTTGTCTGACAATATATGTATTTGTCATTTTAAAAAGCCTTTCTCCTTCATTCCAAGATAGGGAGCAGAAATGAAAGGATCATATGCTTATGATCATCTTTTGTTTTTGCCCTTTCAGGAAGTGGCAGAGCCACTGCAGGACCTGAAAGAAGGAATGGATCAACTTGAAAAAAACAAAACCCTCAGATACATCCTGACCACCCTGCTGGCCATTGGTAACTTCCTCAATGGATCAAATGTAAGAAAAACAATCTGAGATATGCCTCTGATATTCTTAGTTTTGTTTTGTTTTCCCTTTGTATGTTATCCTTATCTTCTGTTAGCATTTTCTTCCCCTATATTTCCAGTCAAACCCAATATTTTGGCAGGAATAACACCAGTCTGTGTGAATGGGCCTACTGCCCAACTGCAGCTTCTTTTGAGTGTGGCTCTATAAGCTGAGGAGAAAATAAGGGGAGGGCAAGTTTTTTTTTTTTTTATGTTCATCTTTATCTTGGTTGCCTGTGTGTGAACTCCATAAGTCGTTTCTGCTCCTGCTTTGTCCCAAAGTTGGCTTTTTCTTTGTTCCTGTGGCCCTTTCTCCACCTCAGTGTGAGTGCATCTACATGTGTGAGCCTCTGGGATAAACAAAGGCAAACATCCACAAGGGGAAACATAAGTCATCAACATCAAAATGAGCAGTTTCCCGTAAATAATGGCTGCATTTATATTTTTGCAGTAAACCATTTATAGCTGGCAAAAGAACAAGGGAGATCCTGCTAGGATTATGTCTTTCTTGATGCGTTCTGGAACCTTTTCTGCTTTGTTGTGAGGGGAGAACAGTCGCTTAAACAGATTGGAGTTTTTGATTCAGTCTGATAATCTATGATTTGCCGTTCAACCTCTTATTTCTTACTTTGCCAGAAAGGAATTAACTTCAATCAGCTCGAGGTGATCCAGCTTTGTGATTTCAACGAACTGTTTCCTTCTACATTCTCAGTATGTTTTGTGTGTTTTTAACGTGTCTGCAGGCCAAAGGCTTTGAGCTGAGCTACTTGGAGAAAGTCCCGGAGGTGAAGGACACGATTCATAAGCAGTCCCTGTTGCACCACGCCTGCTCCATAGTGGTGGAGAAGTTTCCAGACAGCACCGACCTCTACTCTGAGATAGGAGCCATCACCCGCTTGACCAAGGTTAAAAACACATAATGTCCTCTCAGATGTTCCATGTCCTCTGAAAAGACTCCTTACTGGTTTTTAATATCATTCTCAGGTGGATTTCGACCAGCTTCAAGATAATTTGGCCCAGATGGAGCGCAGGTGCAAAGCATCATGGGACCACCTAAAAGTTATTGCAAAACATGAGATGAAGCCAGCGTTGAAGCAAAAAATGTCTGATTTCCTCAAAGACTGCGCAGAGAGAATTATAATTCTGAAAATAGTGCATCGCAGAATAATCAACAGGTATGCTGGAATGAAGTCTTTTTATTTTCTTTCATTTCTTCTGAAAACAAAAGAAAAGTAGTAAAATTATTATACATGTTTTTCAAAGTTTGTATTTAAGGTGATAATGTTAAAGGGCCTTTTACTTTCAATAAAAGGCAGTAAAAAAAACTTTTTAATCAGAGTACCTGAGTTAAAACACATGCCACACTTTGGTTTTAAGGACCATGGGCAATTTTGATTTTAACAGTTATCCTGTTTACATGCCTGTGCAAATTCTCAGTCATCTGGGTCCTGGCAACCAAAAAACCAAGCTTCAGTTAAAGGCAACCAGACTTTAGCTGAGCTTTTTTTAAAATGTTTTGAAATCTATCCAGGAGCTTTTGTTAATTCTGGTTGTTTGCACTAGAGAAACATGTTGAAGTCCTGCTGTTTCTAAGCATGTGGAATCTCCCAGGTGACTCTAACGACCCTGGAGAATGATGGATGGCTCACTGATTTGCATCTAAGTTGGTACGTGCCTAGGAGAACGGGCCTTCATGAGCTTAAAAACAGACCTTGTACAGGTCACCAGACAAACACTGTGTGTTTTAACCTCTATCCTGGATAGGTGTTGAAATATTTTTAGAAAAACTTTTAGAAGGCATGGGTGCCTTCAATTTAGGCCTATTTTGTGGTATCTTGTCAACAGGTTCTCCCTCCTCAGCTGAAAATTTGTGTGACCCTTAAAGTTAGCCTGTGCCTGTTAAAAGGGGACCCAAAATGATTTCAAACCAAGAATGTTGCATAATAATCATTTATGGAAACACTTCCAAAAAAGCATCCCAGGGACCATTTTCTCCAACCTAAATCTTCCTCTTTCACATTTACAGTATGTTGCCAGTCTCATAAAATCCTCATAAAAAAAAATCTAAGTTTAACATAAATAGAAAAAACAATAATGTATGTCTCTTTTGCCTCTGTGCACATCTGCAGGTTTCACGCCTTTTTGTTATTCTTGGGCCATCCGATCTATGCGGTAAGAGAGGTCAGCATACATCGCTTTAGCAAGATCCTGAGCGAATTCGCCCTGGAGTACCGCACGACGAGAGAGCGTGTGCTGCAGCAGAAACAGAAGAGGGCCAACCACAGAGAAAGAAACAAGACCAGGGGGAAAATGATAACAGATGTAAGGCTTGTTCATTATTCTATCACTGTCCTTGTTTTAATTCGCGCCTCCGCAGTTCCATGAAACAGTGTTAACAACCCATTGGCAGGAGTTCTATCTCTAATCTTAAAAAATCTGGCTCCATTTTTTGGTAGATGTGGTGGGTTTCATTTCCAAAGACGTCTGCCTAGCTTCCTCTTTGCTCACGTGTATAAGTTACAGTAAAAACAATCAGGGAGTTGTGTGGAGTGGATCCGCTTCTGTATCTACTGCAGGCTGAGAACAGGCCAGAGCTAACAGCTCGCTGTGTGATTAAAATCCCCTAAGCCCCAGGGAGGCGGCTGCTGACAGAGGAATCCACGCTCCGCCACAGAGAGGGGACCCTTTTCTTTTTTAAGGACACTTCATTTAATCACTGTGTGAAACTTCAAACCTGTGGTTTTCCCTAAAGGAGAAATAGCATGGGGCCACACCTTAGCTATGATCCAAAAGCTTTGCTGGCAGACTCTTTTTTTTTTTTTTGCACAAATGAAGATGGAAAATATTGTAATTTTATATTTTGGATATCAAGAATAATTGGACATTCCTGTGTGATGGAAGGTGTTAAATTTGCATATCATTTCTAAATAAGCTTGCAAAACCTAAATATACTAATGTTATTCATACATGCATCTATACAACAAAAAAATAAAAAATGTTCATATCTTCTTTTTTGTTTTTAATAATATGAATGCAATATAAATGCACATAATTGTTTTTATACTGGGATTAAATCAAACACTTGGAAGAAAGGTGACCATTTGAAAGGCAGTCGGTTGCACTGAATTTTGCTGAGGTATACCAGACTTCACTTCATGTCCTAAAAAAACATTTTACAGCGTACATCCACTTCAGAAGTGTATGCTACACTGCATTGGTACATCATATATTAAACCCATGTAAAAACCATTGAAATTTGTGGTTGTAACATCCAAAAATATGACAAAATCTACTTTTCCAAGATACTTTATGTGATTATTGTTGATAAATGCCTGTTAGCTTAACATCCTGTTTACTGCAGACACAAATCTATAATTAGGCACTAGCAGATGTGATCTTCTTTTTCAAAATGTTACAGTAGAAGGCCATGCTTGTTATCAGTGCTTATTTTGCCTTTTTTTTATTAGAGTGAGGATGACGATGACAGTGAGGTAGGGAGGTACACATGTATGCATGCATAGGCATTAATCTGAGAGCCCTCCGTTTGCACTAACACTGAACAACATGCAAGGCTGCATTTTGAAATAACTGTTTTGTTCAAAGGGTCTAAACAAATCGTGAGGTGTTTGTAAGTCTTAGAGGGACTAACAGTGAAAATGCATGAATATGAAACATGATGCCGCTTTGAGTGCTGAGTGAATCTAACCTTAAGAAGTTAATTATACTTAATGGTAGAAAAATATATATTTTGAGGGGAACAGTCATGGAAATAAATCTGTGATAAATGTATTGTGTGTCTCAGATTCTTAAAAAAAACAACTGTGCTTGTTTAGGTGTGGGAAAGACTGTTAAAAAATAAGTACAGGAAAACAAAGATAATTTTTTAGAATGTTTTAACTCTTCCTTCATACTTTTGCAGAGCGGTAAATTTGGAGGGGCTTCTTCAGATGCACAGGAGAGCCAGGCTCAGGGTATCCAGAGCGCTGACGATGCAGCAGAGCATGAAAACATGAAGGCTGTGTTAAAAACTGGTCTGAAAGATGGAGAGAGCAGCACATCCACTGTGCCCGGGCTGCGAGGTCGCACCAGAGGCGGCAGCCTCAGAGGTCAGTCAGATAATGCTACTATATAACATAAATATCCAGTTTTATGGAACTATAAACAAGCCCCAGAATAGTTCTACCTTTCACAGCATCCTGAAACACTGGAGATATTATCACGTCTTAGTAATAATGAATGATTGATGATAAATGATGATGATTTTTAACACCTTTATCAGACAGTTTTCATCCAACTTGTCCAAATATTTCTCCTTATGCACGCTCTATTTAAAAGTTACTGTTAGCATATGTCAGACTTGCCACCGGTAAGGGAAAATGGGGATGAGCATGTAGGATGAATGACAATTAGGAGGACCAGCTACAAGCATCTTACCCTGGGTAAAGAAAAAAACAACTTTATTCATGCTCAGTGGTCCAAAGTTCTATTTTCTGATTGAGAAAAGTTTGGATTTCATCTCAACATTAAGGCCCCACAGCCTAAATGAAGGAGGCAGAGAATCCACACCGTTTGAAGTCCAGGTATAGTTTCTAATGGCAGGTTAAGACCTCCATGTCATCTGTTGGTGTTGGGTTCCTTTTGCTGACGAGCTAAATGTTGATTTTATTTTCACACCCCCAAAATGTCCAAGATAACAAAGGCTGGTATAGTTGCACAAGAAACTGGTCTGGCCTTAGAGAATCCATGGGGTATTGTCAAGAGGAGGATATCAAAGCCAATAAAACAGATGACCTCAAGGCCACTATCAATGCACCCTGTTGCTGAACGCCTCCATGCCATGCCGCATGCATGCAGTAATTTAAGCAAAATGAGGCCCAACCAAGTAATGAATTAAAAGAAATTAATATTCTTTTGAGAAATCCACTTTTGTTAGATTTCTGGGTTTTTATTTTGTTTAAACATTAAAAAAATAAAGGACACAAATTAGATTAAATACTTCACTTGGTGTGCCATAAAGACGTAATATATGTCAAGTTCATTTCACTTTTTGTCAAGAGAACCCATTAGATCAGTCGATGGGGGAAAAAAATCACATCAATTTCTTTATTTAGTCAAAATTGGGTTTTTTAATCAAGCACTAACAGTCGAAAACTCAATTATTAACTTCAATATCAGAAAAAAATCAGAGAACATAATTTTTACCTTCAGTAAGAGTCCTGACCTATATTTTTTGCAGACTTTTTTGTATTTTCCTCCATCTGCTTTGTTCCGCTGCTTTGACAGGTTTTATTTTCTCACAATCTGCTGTATGTAGCTCTAATTTGTAAGAGTCCTTTTATGTGCTTATTGTAGTATACCTGAATTTAAAGAGGTGTTTCCTTAGAAGCATGCAAAAGATTTCATACTAACTTGTGCAAATTGTATCGATGCAGAAAGAAACTGTTTAAAGAAGCTAGGAGCAGATCTGCTTTCGCATTTAAAAGCAAGTAATGCATCCCCTAATTTAGCACCCTTAATTTCCATTGCTATTATTCCCCTCCAGTGTTCTTAAATATCAATGTCACACACCTTTTGTTACCAATTATGATCTTAAAACTTCATTCATAAAATAAAACTAATAACACCATGGCTTATGTGTGTTCTGTCCAGTAACGCAGAATTTGATTTGCTGTGCTTGTTTCAGCGCGCGTTGCTCCATGGTGTTCTGCTAGTGATGACCCTATAAGCTGTACAGATGACACAGCTGATGAGATCATGGAGAGGATTGTTCGATCAGCCACTCAGGGGCCCAGTCAGAGGACACTACCTCGTGAGAGGAGGCGATCCCGGCTAAACAGGAAATCATGTGGGTCTTGAAGACATGCTCAAAATTATTTAAGAAAAAAAAAATGTTTCTGTTGCATTTATTCATCACAGTAATCCACCTTCTCTTTTTTTTTTTTTTTTTTTACTCACTTGATCAAACAGTAAGGAGGACTCTAAAGAGTGGCTTGACGACAGAGGAGGCCAATGCCCTCGGCTTGTCCAGTGGTTCTGAGCTTCAGGTGTGAGAAAGACTAGGATTCTGCTGGACATTAGGAGAACTGTTGGCCCTTTCACTGCCTCACACACGCCCCCCTCCAATCCAGACTGGAGATCCACCCCTCTCTTGCCTCCAACCACCTGCAAGCTGGGATGAAGTTGTTTGGTTTACATACTGTGATATGAGAAAAAGGGAAAAATCGCTGAGGAGATCTTATTCTTAAACCTGTGGGCAGGAAAAACAGCTTTGCAATGAAACCACTAAGCTTGGCTTTTGCCAGATGAACACAGAACAAGTGCTTTTGCAAGGCTTTACCGCCGTCATCCTGCATACAAATGCCCACTAAGGTTTGTGTCTTGCTTTGTGTGTGCTTGAGGCTGCCAGTGCACGTGCTTCAACCACTTGCAGCCTTCCTTTGGACACAAAAGGCTGAACGTGGTGCAAATCTTGAACCCTTAAAATTACTGTGCACTGGGGGTTAAACGACATAGCTGAGCTGAATGACATTTCATCTATTGAATAGATGGCTTGGTGCAGATGGTTATTTTGTTGTATACTACTGGGGTTATTTTATGTTTAATTTTGGTCCGAAAAGGTGCTTAAATAAGGAACATTTTGCACTGGATGTAAAAGTTTGGCTATCATTGGAATGTGAGATTTTTGACACTGATGAACCACTCTGACATCTGAATCTGACTATGTGCTCATCAATGTGCCAGCTATTCAGAAGTAGCACACTTTTAACATCACAAAATTGTATAGAATAAGGCAGATGTGCGTTAGTTTAAAGATAAAGAAGGAATTTAATAGTGTAGATGTATTTTTGAAGATTGTGAGGAGACAAAACGTTCAGTGTTGCATTGTTTGATCAATTCTTAAATTAAAACTAAAGAGCTGCAAGCATTCATGGAAGTTAGCAGTTCGAACTCTTTCTAAATTTGCATTTTATAGAAACTATGAGCTGCACATTTCAGTGCCTTGCAGACAGTTATTTATTAAGATGCTTTCAGGGATATGTGATAACCTTGTTTCTACAGATGTGCAACCTGTGTATGAGAAGATCATTTTAGCATTAATCAGTTTTTAAACCCATCATAATAAAGTAGCTTTTTGGCTACATTAGGGGTATTTAATTTCTACGGCTTCATGTTGGTTTGAACATTTAGTGTCTCATTTAGCTTTCTGCACATGTAACTATTCAAGAAAGGACAATGTAATGTACAGGTCCTTCTCAAAATATTAGCATATTGTGATAAAGTTAATTATTTTCCATAATGTAAAGATAAAACTTGAACATTCATATATTTTAGATTAATTGCACACTAACTGATGTGATGATTTCATGTCTTTTATTGTCTTAATACGGATGATTTAGGCATACAGCTCATGAAAACCCAAAATTCCTATCTCACAAAATTAGCATATTTCACCCGAACAATAAAAGAAAAGTTATCTTAATACAAAAAAACAAAGTCAACCTTCAAATAATTATGTACAGTTATACACGCAATACTTGGTCGGCAATCCTTTTGCAGAAATGACTGCTTCATTGCAGCGTGGCACAGCTAAGGTGTTATGGAGGCCCAGGATGCTTCGATAGCGGCCTTTAGCTCATCCACAGTGTTGGGTTTTGCGTCTCAACTTTTTCTTCACAATATCCCACAGATTCTCTATGGGGTTCAGGTCAGGAGAGTTGGCAGGCCAATTGAGCACAGTGATACCATGGTCAGTAAACCATTTACCAGTGGTTTCGGCACTGTGAGCAGGTGCCAGGTCGTGCTAAAAAATGAAATCTTCATCTCCATAAAGCTTTTCACCAGATGGAAGCATGAAGTGCTCCAAAATCTCCTGATAGCTAGCTGCATGGACCCTGCCCTTGATAAAACACAGTGGACCAACACCAGCAGCTGACATGACACCCCAGACCATCACTGGCTGTGGTTACTTGAGACTGGACTTCTGGCATTTCCTTCTCCCCAGTCTTCCTCCAGACTCTGGCACCATGATTTCCAAATAACAAGTAAAACTGAGCAACAGTCCAGTGCTGCTTCTATGTAGCTGTTTCTGGTTCAAAAGTGGCTTGACCTGGGAAATGCGGCACCTGTAGCTCATTTCCTGCACACGCCTGTGCACGGTGGCTCTGGATGTTTCTACTCCAGACTCAGTCCACTGCTTCCGCAGGTCCCCCAAGGGCTAGAATTGTCCCTTCGCCACAATCTTGGTCAGGGTCCGGTCACCTCTTCTCATTGTGCAGCGGTTTCACTTTTTCCTTCCCACTGTGGTGCCTTGATTCAGCACTCTGGGAACAGCCTATTCGTTCAGAAATATCTTTCTGTGTCATACCCTCTTGCTTGATGGCGTCAATGATGGCCTTCTGGACAGCAGTCAGGTTGGCAGGGTTACCCATGATTGGAGTTTTGAGTGATGAACCAGGCTGGGAGTTTTAAAGGCCTCAGGAATCATTTGCAGGTGTTTAGAGTTAATTTGTTGATTCAGATGATTAGGTGCATAGCTCATTTAGAGACCCTTTTAATGATATGATAATTTTGTGAGATAGGAATTTTGGGTTTTCATGAGCTGTATGCCAAAATCATCCGTATTAAGACAATAAAAGACCTGAAATATTTCTGCAGTGTGCAATGAATCTAAAATATATGAATGTTCAATTTGTACCATTACATTATGGAAAATAATTAACTTTATCACAATATGCTAATATTTTGCGAAGGACCTATATTGACCATAACTGTCTGTAGTTTAAATGACATAGGAGACCTCGCTTTGTCCTTTAGGAAATATTTAGGTATTTGCTTGCTCTATAAGTACACTGTGAAAATCTGGAGTCATCCCTCATTTCCTTAAATATATATTTTTGTTTGAATCAAATTTTTTTTTTTTTATTAGACCTCAGTCTACATTAGTTTTCCAGGTTCTCAGAAGTTTGTCCTTGGAAACATTTGCTGTTGTTCTATTTCCATGTTCTAGACTGGATCAGATATTTTTGTTGTTTTTGTTTTTACTAAACCACTATAGTAACGCACAAACCAGGGTTGTTTGACCAGTTTCCAAAACAATCTAAAAAAAATTGATCTTTAGTTTTTAACAAATACATTTAAAAAAAAATATTGAGCATCTAGTGTTAGCAATTAGCTCTCTACCAAAGAATTAAGGAACCTCTGTGTTCTCTAATTCCCCTTTAGGTTTTTACATTTACTTTGAAATTTCCAAGATGCTCCCAACATTCCACCATGCTCTCAACGAGATGCTTAAAGCTTTGCTCTCTACTGCTTTCTCACAGCCAGAGCGCATCAAGCTGACAGTGTTTTATCATCTGCATGAAAGGATGTTAGTTACCAGCAAAGCTAAAATCTCCAGCTGGAAACACAAACTGGTTATGGAAGCATTCAAAATCAATAGCACAGCCTTTAAATGTGTATATACTATAATGTGTTCACTCCTTTAGGTATTTTCTATCGGTCATGTGTATTCCTCATCTCCACTGTAATATGTCTACAATAGCCTGTAGCCTACATTATCCAAGGTTTAATGCAATGTTTATTTAAAACAGAAAGCATTTAACATTGTTCTTCATAGAGGTTGAAGTAAGCAGATTTTACCTGCAAAATATAGTCTGAACAATTCTTGCAAAGTATCACATGTTGAGCTTGTAAGAAATGTTATTTGCCTAATCTGTAATTTTCTACCAGTTTGCAGACATTTAAAATTTGTAAAAAAAAAAAAAAAAATAGAGTGAAGTGAGGGGTGGTTTAAGATTTTTGCACAGTACAGTATTAATAAAAACAATAAAAAATTAGAATACAATGGGAGCAGTGACATAAACACAGATATTGTTAATGATGTAAAACTAAGTTCCATCTATAAACTCTAAATGTTTTTTTTAATGCAGCACTTGCAGAGCACACATATACTAGTTTTTACTTGATGTAACCCAATTCTCTGTATGAATACTCAAGTTTTTTTCTCATTTTCCTCAGAAAATTACACCAGCAATATAATATACTGGAATTTATTTTGCACCTTAGACTTACATTGCAACATAGAGGCGCATCTCAGTTAATTAAAATATATTTAAAAACAAAATGTATTTATTTTAATAATTGAGCTCAAAAGGTGAAACTCACTTATGGAGTTTTTGTAATGGCTTACAGCTCTTTAAATTTTGAGTCTTAGAAAACGAAGAGTACATCCAAGACATTAGTTTTTTAAACCAAAATGCCGTATGACACCTTACGGTAGATTGCTGATCTGAAAGTTTTCCAGGAGTCATTAGCACTGTCCATTCAAAGGTTAGCCACAGTAACTCACGTATAGAGGGCAGAGTGGAAGGAAGTACACAAGCTATAAGGCTAATTAGTCTTTAGAGGATTGGAAAGCTAAAGCCAATATAAGATGTTGGGTACATAAATGAGGTGTAAACTAACTGTTGTATTTCTAGCATTAGATTCTTAATGGGAAGCAAAGACTGTTGCTCAGTGGTTTAAAGTCACCTTTAAAGATGTAAACTAAGCTTTGCATTATATTTGAAAATGAGGGTCGAAAGATCTTGAGTGAAGTGGCCACTGTCAGTGATTTGGAAAGCCCTGTCATGATGCTCCACGTCCAAAGTCTTCATTTTTTGCTCTCTGCCATGAAAACACAAATTTTAAACATCTCTCTGCTTTATGGGCCAACATTCTGGTCTGACATAAACCACATAGAGCATCAGTTTAGTGTCATCAAGAGAAATATAGGACATCACTATAATGCAGATGAACCACGTTATTCCCCTGATCACCTCCATCCCTGCACTGATGCCGAGCTCCAGTCAGGACACTATGGAGTGCATAATGTGCAGTAACTGGACAAACTTTTTAAAGGGTTCTGTAACAAAATCTTTCCTAATGGTGTGCTGCAGTATTCCCAGTTTCAGAGAAGCTTAATTTTGGGTTTTTCATCAGATGTAAGCCATAAGGATCAAATTTAACACAAAGGCAGTGTGGAACTAATTTGTATAATAGATTCACATTTCAAAACTAAGTTATTATTGCAGTAGGGCTGTAATTAGTTACCCAGACTAGAAGAAGTGTTAATCAATTTTGAGCTTTATGGACAAATAAAACTATTTTATCTTCTTTCATTGCTCCCCTCTTTCAGCTGTGTTGGCAGCTTTAGTCTCTAAAAGTCTCTTTTCTTTTCATTCCAAATGGAGGTCAACTTTGGTTCTCCGAGTCTTTGGTTTTAGATACACAAGTCTTAATATCACACTGTGATAAAATGATCCAGTTAACCTGTAACCTTTAAGCCTTGACTTCATTGCACTTAAGCTGTTCCTACTTTTAGCCCGTTGCCTACTGCAGCCTGTGCCATATCATCTCAATCAAAAAATGCTGTTAGATTCAAGGCTTCCTTTGTATCCATGCCCACAGCAAAACTATGTAACAATAAAAAGGCTCATTGAAACAACTTTGGGACTGTTTTTAATCATCCTTCTGTGATATTGGATTTAAGCAGAGAAAGAAAAATTCACATATGACACTAATGAGGAAAATCCATGAAAAACGTAATCTTTATTCTTTTAGTCCACAAAACCCATGCTTCAAGTTACTTAAAGTTCAAGGGTGTGGGAGGTGGATGACAGGCTTGCTGGTATTGCTGACGCAGCGTTTTCCTTTGTAGTGTTTTCCTCACAGACCTCATTTGGTCTTGTTTAAGTCATCTATACATCAATGTCTGGGTTTACATGTAAATATGGGTTGCTTTTTTTTCTTTTTTTTTTATCAAACAGCAAAAACTGAATGAAGTAAGCTAGCTAGAAAAAGATAAAGGGAAAGATGGGAAATGAAACCAAGCATCACAAAAAGCATACAACAAAAGCTGATCAAGTCTCAACAACTCCAGTGCAACCCAAAACACATTCTGCTTTATTCCATCTAAAAAAAAAAAAAAGGGCTCATAATAAAATTATAGTTTGAATTTGTCTATTACCCTAATATTTTATGTGCGTTCTCCCTGACCCTTTTGTTTAGCACAGTACCTTAAAATTGTATAGATAAATTACAAACATGGAGTATTCCCTTTCCACTCAAAAGGTTTTTCTTTCCAAAACATCTAATAAATGACAGGTTTATGCAGGCTTCGTCTTATATTGCTACATTTTCAAAACAAAGATCAACAAAAGGAATTACTAGTTTTGCATATATTCTTAGGTTCATGGTTTGGTGTGCAACTTCAACAGTAATGTCAAATCAGCTCTAAAATAGCACCACAACAAACAAACAACCCCTCAACGCCTGGAAGGTTAAGGCGGTTTGTTTAAAGTTTAAGAAGAAGCACAAATCCCAAATGTGCAGTTTCTTTCTGTCATCGAAAACGATGGGGAACGGATCTGGTTTCAAGGAAAAACATGTAAACACTTAGCAATACAAGAGGTACAAACTTAATTCTGGGATCATTTTAAACCTGCTATCGATCTCAGGGCTTCGGTTCTATCAAGTTCATTCAGAGCTTCGATTTCACCCGATTTAAATTAAAAAATTTTTTTTTAAAAGCGTAATTCAGAATGCAGCCTTCTTGAATTGAAAAATAAAAAGGCATTAGAGATGAGTTTAGGTGTTTAAAAAGTCATATAAAAATGAGTACTCAAATTATAGCCACTCAGAAATGCGTAAATATTTTCTTAAAAATATTCATGTGTTTACCATAGTTTTATGCATGAAGTTATGACAACACTTAGCACCAGCTTGAAGATCATGCCAAGCCTTGAGTTTGGTCTAAAGAGCAAATCTGTGCTGCACTAAGGTGTAACGCAGACAGCAGTGAGACAAACTGACAAATCTTAAAAAGAACTTAAAGTGCCACTCCAGTCCCACGCCCGCCCCCCCCAGACTGCAGCCATTTAAAATCCACAGAATGCAACTCCTATCTAAGACAACTAATGGGGGGCTTCAAGCATTTCCATGAGGAAGGTGTCGATAGGCGTGTCCCCGATCAGTTTGAAGAAAAAAAGATGCTCCAAGCACTTTAAGCCAATGGAACGCAGCGCAGGAAGTCGAAGGAGGAGCTTAGCAAACCTACAGGGGAAAAATGTTTAGTTGTTTTTGCATAAAGATGTATATTTTGCATTAACAAACAGACTATACTGCAAGGGGAGTTTACCTTCCCTGCTGCTCTGGATACTTCTGCTTGCAGTAGGCTTCCAGTGATGCATAGACTTTTTCTCTAAGAAGCTCCACCTCACTTGTGCTGGAGAGCCCTTTAGCATCTGGCAGGAAAGAAATAAAACAAAGGAGAAAATTGAAAGCCACATAATACACGTCCACTAAAAAAAATGTAAAAATATATTTGCAAAGCACCAGGAAACCGATGATGATCTTTACTAATAGTTTCGTCTGAACTGAATGCAACCCATCAAAATGCAAGAAGCCTTTACTTTAGCCACACATAGTATCAGCAGCTGTTTCCATTGCAGAACTCGGCAAACATTTGACAATATTCTGTTAAAATAAAACAATAAATGTTTTGCATCTCAAACTGGATCATTTCCTTGATACAACTCTGTTCTCAATTGATGGTCAGTGGAAACTATTCAGGTGTTTAAATAGCTAGCTATCTAAAAACGATAATTTTTTTTTTAATGCTCTATCATGATGTTTGCTATATACTTTTACAGTGAAAGAGCAGGAGGGAGCCAGACTGTCAGCGTAGACTTTAAGAGAGGAACAACAAAGCCATTTAAATCTCAAGCCTTTTTTTTTTAGTCTTGCTGCCTTTTATGCTTGCAATCGTACCAAAATTACCATATTTTTGCGACTATAAGGCGCATATAAATGTCTTTTTTTTTCCTTAAAATGTGCGGCGCGCTCTATGTGTGTTGTTACTGCGGACGTTGTGAGACCACCATGAGAACATTAAAGGGGGAAGTGTGGGCATGGATTGTGTTTAAAAGAACAGGTATGTGCTTTATGCAGAACTC